CTCTCAAAATGTCTCCCCTTGACTCCTACTGAAACTGCAGATCAATAACAATGGTGTACTTATGAGTCATCACGGTTTTCTGTTCTATTTTGTCTCTAAGGAAAGTTTTCTTGGAGAAATAAATCTTTCTGTTTGGTGAAATAACGCAGTCTTGTTTCTGAAGGTGATAGATAGATAGATAGATAGATAGATAGATAGATAGATAGATAGATAGATAGATAGATAGATAGATAGATAATAAAGAAATGCCAGAGATGATAGAGATGGTAGAGAAATGATAGAAAGATGAGAGACAGACAGACAAAGATAGAGAGATAAAATTCCTAGTGTCTCTCTGTCTGTCTCTGTCTCTCTCTCATCTATCTATCTATCCATATCGATCAAAGTATCCTAAAAATATGGGTTCCAGGTGTAGCTATAAAAGAAGAGACAGACATCACGATCTCCGGAACTTAAAATACATTATCCACTTCATCAGAGTATAATTTGGTCTCTCTCTCGCGCACGCACACACGCGCATACACTTACTCAACCCATTTAGTCTTTTAGGGGAAAAAATAAGAATTCCAAAATAGTTGTGTTATTTATTGGGGACACTGTCCACTCCAGTAGACTTTCTCTCCAGGAATTAAATTTGAGACTTGGATAATGGTAAGGGTTTTCCTCGCACATGTGCTAGTCGTTCCCAACTCTGGGGGGCACTGCTCATCTCCGTTTCATGGCGATTGTGGCATCAAAATAGCCCTGAAATGTCTCCAGAGATACTCTGGACATGCATCCTTGTGTGATAAACTAAGCGGCCGCACAGCCTTGAGGCCTTCCAGACTCTGTGTGGTAAAACAGACATTAGGATGGCAACACAAATTATTACGGCTTGGAGTCTGAATCACCGTTGTGTTCTCCCATCTTTCCCCATGAGCTACTTGGAGAATTCTGGGAGTTGCAGTCCCAACACAACTGAGAGGTAGCACCTTGGGAAATACCACCTAGGTCCTTGGGCCGTGACAGTGAACCTATGACATCATAATGTCCCATTGATGGCACACGAGCCATTGCCCCAGCTCAGCTTCATCGCTCATGCCCAGGAGCCTCCTGCCAGCCAGCTGGTTTTCTGCCACACATGCACAGGGGGGACAGGGTGCATGCGGGAGATGAGCGTGCATGCATGGGGGCATGCAGGGGGTTCCGTGCGCATGCACAGTGGGGAGCGCTGCGGGGAGGGTCACACAGCATGCAGGGGGTCGGGACGCACCTGTGTGTGGGTGTGGGTGTCACATGCAAATTGCATTATGGGTGCGCACCCACTTTCAGCATGTGACAAAAAATGGTTAGCCATCACTGTCCTAGGGTACCTAGCGGTTATTTAGCTAGCCAGCAGCGCCCTCTACTGGAGGGACCCAGAACTCACTCTCTTTGCAGAGGCTGACTTCCTGGGCTATTGCAAGTAGAGTTTACTTGCTGGTGGGCATCTAATGGAAATCACAATGTCATGACATGCACGATGTCACTTTCCCCTTGTGTCCCAATTTGCAGATCTCTGGGACTGTATTTTTTCCACTTGTATTTTTACCCTGATACAAGAAAGGTATTGAGACTCTAGAAAGAATGCAGAGAAGAGCAACAAAAACGATTAGGAGACTAAAGTGTATAATTAACGGTTGCAGGAACTGGGTATGTTTATTCTAATGACCAAAAAGACTAGGGGGTGACATCATAGCAATCTTCCAATATTTGAGGGGTTCCCACAGTGAGCAGAGAGGCAACCTATTCTCCAAAGCACCCGAAGGCAGAACAAGAAGTAATGAATGGAAGCTTAACAAAGACTTCCAACTAGAAATAAGGAAACAGGTCCAGACAGAGAGAACAATTAACCAGTGGAACAGATTGTCTCCAAATGTTGCGGATGCCTCATCACTGGAGGTTTTTAAGAAGAGACTGGACAGCCATTTCTCTGAAATGGTATAGGATCTCCTGTTTGAGCCAGGAGTTGGAATAGAAGACCTCCAAGGTTCCTTCCAATCCTGCTATGGTAATATGATACTATAAAACATTTTTTTTAAATTTATATTCCACCTTTATTTTTACAAATAAGGAAATGAACATATCCAACAGAGCATTCTCTTCCTGCTGTGTGCATAGAAATATTTATATTAGGTAAAGGTTCCCCTTGCACTTATGTGCTAGTTGTTCCTGACTCTAGGGGGGGCGGTGCTCATCTCAGTTTCAAAGCCGAAGAGCCATCTCTGTCCAAAGACATCTCCGTGATCATGTGGCCAGCATGACTCCATGCCGAAGGTGCACAGAACACTGTTACTTTCCCACCAATAGGGTGGTCCCTATTTTTCTACTTGCATTTTTACGTGCTTTTGAACTGGCAGAAACTGGGACAAGTAACGGGAGCTCACTTTGTTATGCGGTGCTAGGGATTCGAACCTCCAAACTGCCGACCTTTCTCATCAACAAGCTGAACGTCTTAGCCACTGAGCCACCGCGTCCTTTCATTTATATTAGATTTACCTTTGTATTTTGTATGTTTTTGTAGTAGTGTACTTTTTTGCTGACTCCAATTTATGATTCATATTTATGATGGCCACAGTGTCCTTGGGCCATGCAATCACCTTTTGCAACCTTCTAATAAGCTAAGTCAGTGAGGAAGCCAGATTCATTTCACAACTGTTGCTAACTTAGCAACGGCGGTGATTCACTTAACAGCTGTGGCAAGACAGGTCATTAAAAAAAATGGGGCAAAACTCACTTAATTATTGTCTCACTCAGCAACAGCACTTAATCTTATATACCGCTTCACAGTGCTTTTATAGCCCTTTCTAAGCGGTTTACAGAGTCAGCCTATTTGCCCTCAACAATCTGGGTCCTCATTTTACCCACCTCGGAAGGATGGAAGGCTGAGTCAACCTTGAGCCTGGTGAGGTTCGAACTGCTAAACTGCAGTTAGCAGTCAGCTGAAATAGCCTGCAGTACTTGCACTCTAACCACTGCCACCTCGGCTCTTAACAACAGAAATTGTGGCCATAAATCGAGGACTACCTGTATGGACTAAGATTGCCTTTCAAACTTTCCAATAAGCTGCAAGGTCAAATACACAACCTCAGTCTTACCCACCACTTAACTATTAAGCGACAACGGAACAAAACAAACAAACCTGGTAAAGTCAGGATTTTTTATTAACTTCTGTTATCTTATCTTCTGCCAGGCTCAACACTTGCACTTTTGAACCATCTAATCTGGGGGTAGTCAACCTTTTATACCTACCGCCCACTTTTGTATCTTTGTTAGAAGTAAAATTTTCTAACCGGTTCCACAGTGATGGTAATTTATAAAACAGGGAAGTAACTTTACTTTATAAAATTTATAAAGCAGAGTTACAGCAAACCCCTATCACCCACCATGAAAGCTGGAACGCCCACTAGTGGGCGGTAGGGACCAGGTTGACTACCACTGATTTAATCTCTGAGGACTTTTCACTAATACCAAAGGCAGCCGGAGAGCTTCTGGTAGACGACAAAAAAAAAACAAAAAACAGACGCCTGGGGAAAAGAGGTTGGCAAAGGAAAAAGCAAGACAATCTGTACAAATAAAAAGTAGAAGTTGGAATTAAGGCTGTTGCATCCTCTTCCAGATCTATCTCATCAACCTTCTGGGTCCATTCCAGGAACAAAGGTCATTCTAGCCCAGAAGGAATTATGGACTTCAAACCTTGAAATTATATTCACCGGGACGGAGGGGAGAAAAAAAATCAAAACTATTCCTGATTCGTGCCTAGTGAGAGAAGCCACAAACGTTTTGATTTTATGGACATTTGTGGAACAGCAATTGGAAGAAAGGCGGTGCTTGCTTTATTTTTTTTCCCCTTTCACAATTCCCTCAACCAGCTGCTGCGCCAACTTCTCTTTGGGCCAGTAATTTGAGACCATCTACGTCAAAGAAAGTAGTGGGCACTGGCTCCGCTTGGCACCTCCTAGCTATTATTCCTCAATGGATTTGATGTATTTCTCATATGCATCTTCAGTCAAGAGGTCGTCCAGTTCAGAAGGATTATCCACCGTCATTTTGATAAGCCAACCTGTGAGCCAAAAAAGCCAAATTAGGGTTTGTGCATTTTTGGGTTCTTAGCAAATTGACTTGCATTTAAGGCTCTTTGTAGCATCCCACAGTCACATGACTGCAAATTTTCACCTTTTTTTTTTTGCCAGTTTCAATTATTTACTTCCACTTCTGGTCAAACCCCCCCCCTCCCAATTGGGGGAAAATAAGTTTTGTTAACAACCACCTGTTCTCACCAAGGCTTCCCAAGAGCATGAAGCAAACTCCTTGTCCCGACAAAAACCCTTTTTATTAATTTGCTGTGAATTCTGCTCAATCACATCCAGCAAGGTCTTTCCAGGGAGGAGTTACAGTCACAGACCTTATCTGGCTTGGAGAGCTGCCAGGCCGATATCTGGAAAACTTGGCAAGGAGTCTTGGAGAGTCACAAACCAACTAAGTGAACTAATTGTCTCCTGCAAGCTCCACTCCCCTTTCGCTCCTCTTTTATTTCCTCTGGGAGGGGCCATTCATCATCTGGCTTTACTCCCAAGTCGACGCCTGTTCTTTAGCTGTTCCCTTAGTCTGGCAACTCTGTGCATTCGCACACTGGGAACAGGCTCCAGCTGTTCATCTGTCAGGTCTGACTCTGAAGGCAGCTGATAACTGGCATAGGGCTCTGGCCCCCTCTCTGCCTCCGACACAGAGCCCTCATCAGAGCCTTCCCCAGACTCCAGGACTGACCCATGTTCCTCCCCAACCTCCTCACTGTCCGAATCTGCTGCCAGCTCTGCTGGCCGCTGATGGGCCACAACAGTACCACAAAAAGGTTGTAAAATCAATCATGCAGTGACATGGTGACTCAACCAATTGATTTACAATTGTAATTCCAGGTTACAATGGTATGTTTAGAACTGCCTGTAGTGTTTATTCCACAACACTTTGTTGGATCAATTCCAATACAGGTAGTCCTCAACTTACAACAATTCAATTAGCGACCATTCAAAATTACAATGGCACTGAATTATGGCTGTTTTTCCTCACTTACGATTCCTCACTTTGCAGGATTTCATGTGACCAAAATTCAGATGCTTGGCAACTGTTTCATACTTATAACCATTGCTATGTCCCAAGATCACAATTTTACGATCTTCTGACAAGCAAAGTGAATGAAGAAAACAGATTCACTTAAGAACTGGGTTAACAACTTATCAATTGAGTTTAACAACTGAGGCACGGAAGGTCATAAAATGGGACAAAGCTCACTTAACAACAATTTTTGGGCTCAGTTGTAGTCATGCGTTGAGGACTACCTGCATTATCATTGCAATATTCTGCAAACTACTGTTCAAAATCCTTGGGAAAATGGGGATTCTTCTCTTACCATCTTGGTAACAAGATTTGTTGACAAGCCCAGGATTATCAGCAAGGGCGGTGTTAATTTCTGTGACTTCTCCTGTGATGGGAGAGTAGATTTCACTAGCAGCCTTCACACTTTCCAAGGCTCCAAACTCATCTGGAACATTAAATGGAAAAAAAAGACTTGGTACAAAAAGGTCCCAAAATGAGAATTTGCATTTGTACGATGTGTTGTGCTAAAGTGGCTGCTGGATTGATGGCAGATCCCTCCCCCCACACCCCTCTTGCTCTCTGCTCTCCACCTGCCCATCTTTCTTTTTCGGTAATGATTTAGTTGTATTTCTCGTTGTGTTCTCTTTCAATGTTTATTTTCTGGTTCCATTATCTTCTGTTCATGCTCTTCTCATTTCTTCCTTTTTTTTTAAATTGAAAATTTTTAGAAAAAAAAAACTTTTGCAAATGTTGACTCAGCCTTCCATCCTTCTGAGGTGGGTAAAACGAGGACCCAGATTGTTGGGGAGCCATAGGCTGACTCTCTAAAACCGCTTAGAGGGGGCTGTAAAAACACTGTATATAAGTCTAAGTGCTATTACTATATGAAGCAGCTATCGTTTTGGAAACAGAAATCTTTCAGAACTTGTTTCTCCTCTTGACACCTTGTAAGGCAAGGAACTGGAGGCTGGGATGAGAGGTCAACTATTTAATGTAAAGAAAAAGAAATATTTGGGATACACCAGTATCCTTAAAAAAAAAAGCCTAAAGTAATTTTATTCCTCCAAGGTTGAGATTGCTGCCTAATGTAACACTTACTTTTGGGGGACAGAAGATTTTTTTAAAAAAAAGAAATATGAATTATGCTTACCTTGTTTGTTCAGTTTTGTTCCAATTTCTGGAAGACTGCAATAAACAACATCCCCTAATGCTTCCTGAAATGAAAAGTTCCTGCATCAGCCATGATTTAGAGAAATGGAAACCGCTCTGGAAAGAACGCTGAGCATTTTGTGGTGGAATTTAAGCAGAAAACAAATGTCTGCAGAGACTCTCTGTCCTCCAGGTTATGGTTGTCCCAAAGGTGCTTTTTTCAAGAGGCAACTGGACTTCCTGGTTTTTCTTTGAAGACGTTTCACTTCTCATCCAAGAAGCTTCTTCAGGTCTGACTGAATTCCCCACCATCAGGTCAGCGCTGAAGAAGCTTCCTGGATGAGAAGTGAAACATTTAAAAAAAAAAAAAACCAAAACAGAAAGTCCAGTTGCCTCTTGGAAAAAGAACCTTTGGGACAAGCAGAAAACAAGTTCACATCCTCCCAATCAATTTGTGCCACCTGGCTAGGCAAGCCCCAAGACCTGACCCCAAATATGAGATGCTTTCTTACACTTCCCATGTTGTCCTTAAGAAAGACAGCCAGCGGACAGCCAGCTTGGTCTAATGATTAAGGCTCCAGGCTAGAAAGTAGGAGACTGTGAGTTCAAGTCCTGTCTTAGCCACGAAAGCCAGCTGGGTGACTTTGGGCCAATCCCCAGGAGACTATGAGTTCAAGTTTTATCTTAGCCTTCAAAGCCAGCTGGTGGGTGACTTTGTACCAGTCACTCTCTCTCTCTCTCTCTCAGGCCAACTCACCTCAAATGGTGGTTATTGTTGTGGGGAAAACAGGAGGAGGAAGTTGTGTTGGACATTGTTGCCACCTTATTTGTAAAAATAATAAAGGCGAGATACAAGTAAATAAACAAAAATAAACAAAAGTCTTGAAACAGCTTCAAGAATTGCAACTTGCAGAATTCCTGCTGTGGCCTGCCAGGGAAGCCGGCAGCAGATTCGGACAGTGAGGAGGTTGGGGAGGAATATGGGCCAGGAATCCTGGAGTCTGGGGAAGGCTCTGATGAGGGCTCTGTGTCAGAGGCAGAGAGGGGGCCAGGGCCGTCTGACAGTTTTCAGCTGCCTTCAGAGTCAGACATCAGTGAGGCAGACGAACAGCTGGAGCCTGTTCCCAGTGTGCGCATGCGCAGAGTTCCCAGATGAAGGGAACTGCTAAAGGAGTCGAGTTGGGAGTGAGGCCACAGGTGGACGATGAATGGCCCTTCCCAGAGGCAATAAAAGAGGAGCAAAAGGGGGAGTGGAGTTGCAGGTGACCATTAGTTCACTTCATTGGTTCGTGACTCTCAGAGACTCCTTGCCAAGCTCTGGCCTGTCAGCTCTCCAAGCCAGATAAGATCTGTGACCGTAAATCCTCCCTTGAAAGACTTTGCCGGATGGGAATGAGCAGAATTCACAGCCAATTAATAAAAGGGGGTTTTGTCGGGACAAGGCGTTTGCTTCCTGCTCTTGGGAAGCCTCGGTCAGAACAATTCCTCACCAATCCAGTGGTGCCCAGAAGACGTTGCTCAGAGCAAGCAGAGCCTGTCGTGTTGTGTTTCACAAACATAAGAACAGCCACTGACATTAAGGAAGTGCTGCTCACCCACTTGCACAATGTCAGGTTGACTTTGAAATGCTGACATAATAAAACAGCCTTAGGTTCCTTCTTAGTGGCTGCATAGACCCCTAAAGTACACCTTTCACACCTCCCAGATACTCCCTCCTTTGACCCCAATGGTCAGAAATTATCAGCGTCACTGTCACCAGTTTAAGATGAAAAGATGCCAAAAACCTTGCCCCGAAAATCATAAAACGAGAATTGGGGGAAATAGGTAGGGTATCTTGGCCCTATCCATGGATTTGGGACAGCCTTACCCATTGGGGACCACTGTCCAGCCAACCGAAGTCTTCATCCTCTCCACTAAAATGTCATGTACAGGTAGTCCTTGATTTACAACCGCAATGGGGGGCCCACATTTCTGTGGCTAAGACATTTGCTAAGTGAATGTTGCCCCACTTTCTTCACACTGTTAAGTGAATCCCTGCAGTTGTCAAACTGCTAAGTGAATGTGACTTCTCCATGGACTTTGCTTGTCAGAAGTTCCCAAACAGTGACCACGTGATCTCGGGACACTGCAACCGTCATAAGTACATGCCAGTTGCCAAGCATCTGAATTCTGATCACATGACCATGGGGATGCTACAACAGTCATGAGTATGAAAATCAGTCATAAGTCACTTTTATCAGTGCTGTTGCAACTTTGGTCACTAAACGGACTGTGGTATTAAACAAACTGAAGACTACCTGCATTGCTCTGAGGAGAAATTTCCTGACAGTTGGACCAATTAATCAGAAGTTGCCTCCAGAATTTGTGAATGCCCCAACACTGGAAGTCTTTAAGATGATGTTGGATAGCCATTTGTCTGAAACGGTATAGGGTTTCCTGCCTAGGCAGGGGGTTGGACTAGAAGACCTCCAAGGTCCNATTAAAATGATTTGTAGTTCTTTGTAAAGATATTATATCAGATCAATTAAGTCAGGGGTGTCCAAACTTGGGAACTTTAAAGACTTGTGGACTTTAACTCCCAGAATTCCTCAGCCAGCCATGGGAGTTGAAGTCCACAAGTCTTAAAGTTCCCAAGTTTGGACACAGCCCTGAATTAAGTGTTTGGTTTCCTCCAAGCACTTTCCCACACCCCCACTCCATCCTTCTTTCTGCTAGAAGAGATTCCATATACAATTCAAATGCCAAGAGTTAACCCACAGCTTAAAAAGAAGCTAGAAGTAGACCTCTGCTTAAAAATCATTTGTTTAGTGACCATTCCAAGTTACAACGGCACTGAAAACAGTGACCTACGACCGTTTTCACACTTACAACTATTGCAGCATCCTAATGGTCACACAATCCAAATTCAGGGGCTTAGCAATTGGCTCCTATTTATGACAGTCGCAGTGCCCTGGAGTTATGTCATCTCCTTTGCCACCTTCTGACCAGTTAAAAATCAACGGGGAAGTCAGATTCACTTAGCCACTGTGTGGCTAACTTAACAACTGCAGTGATTCACTTAACAACTGTGGCAAGGAAGCTTCATAAAATAGGGCAAAATTCTCTTAGCCCTGGTCTCATTTAGGAACAGAAGTTTTGGGCTCAAAACTGTTAAGTCAGGGACTATCTGTATACGATCCATAATATTCTCAGCAGAACATTTGTGGTTTTCCATCATGCATTTGAAAAGCCTTTCCTTTTTAGCATGCACAGCTGGAGAACTGCAGTTGTCATAGAACAAGAAGGAAAAAATTTTAATGGCCAAAAAAGGCTTGATGGTTCGTTTTATGAATTGCAGCCTCTCCCTGCAGACCCATAAAGGGACAATTTTCTCTCAAAATGTCTCCCCTTGACTCCTACTGAAACTGCAGATCAATAACAATGGTGTACTTATGAGTCATCACGGTTTTCTGTTCTATTTTGTCTCTAAGGAAAGTTTTCTTGGAGAAATAAATCTTTCTGTTTGGTGAAATAACGCAGTCTTGTTTCTGAAGGTGATAGATAGATAGATAGATAGATAGATAGATAGATAGATAGATAGATAGATAGATAGATAGATAGATAGATA